CCGAGGAGCCGCTACCGCGGCTCCGTGTCCGAGCGGAAGGACACGAGGCTGGCTTCATCACAGAGACGGTCATGCGCGATCTTCGCCGCAGGTATGTGTTCTACGCAGACGGAGGCCCCGTGATGCCATGGGGGGAACCAGCAGCAGCGCACAAGGAGGAGCTCCTCCACCGATTGCAGAACGTGGCGAGCTTGACAAAAGAGCGCTTGCTCGCGGACTTCCCGCGGACTGACGTCCGCTCGGCGCTGGCCATGTTTGACCGGCGTCTCGTGCAGAAAGGCTTCGGCCCAGTGCCCGATGTGGGAGTGCGGCGTTTCCTTCTGCGGGGCGTTCGCCAGCTGGCGGGCCTCCTCGGCTGCGACGAGCAGGCGGCGGTATTGCAGTACAACGGCGTGCTTCCCTACATGATGCAACAGATGGGGCCATCCCAGCCACTGGCGGGGGCAACTAACCAGCAAGCGTGGGCTCGCATTCTCGACGATGTCTTTTGGGAGGCGGCTTGCCCGAACTGGCTCCGTGGGGCCTCTCGCATGCTCTGCCGCCTCGTGCGTTTCTACATTTCGATTGAAGACGGGGAGTGCACCGTCGAGCGCGACTTAGCCCGATATCGGGATCAACGGGTAGAGCACCGCACTGATGATATTGCTTTTCACGACGACTGCTTGATCCTGAAGTTGAACGGGCCGAAGACGGCATCAGAATTCGACGAAGGCGCGGCTCGCCCTGGACTAGGCTTGACGTCCTTCTCCAGGGAATGCGCCAGCCTCTGGCGGGAACTGCTCGGCCAACGGCGTGGGCATTACAACCCTCAAGCTACTGCGGCGGCCACGTTAAAAAGGAAGAGCGCGCCCGGGCTGGTTCGCGGACGTTCTCGGGCCGTCCTTGGGGCCGCCCGCCCGGCCGTGACTGTTGCCCGCATTCGACGGGCGCGGGGCTCGTCGACCGCGGTGCATTCCGGCGCCGGCACTGAGGGGAGCGCTTTGTGGAGCGACGACATGGGTAAGTTCCAAGCGCGCAGCCGCAACAATATACCAGGCGTCCAGCAGACGCGGGCGCGTCCAGGGGCGCCTTTCGTGAACCCGCCCGGCGTCAACCTGGCCCCGAGACTAGGTTCGACGACGCAGCCTCTGGCGCGGCCCTCGCCGTACAGCAAGGTAGCAAGCCTCGGCGGTGCGACCGACATGTGCCCTGCGAGAGGTTGCGCTACTGCCACTGGCAGACACCGTTGCGCAGAAGCAGACCTCGTCGTCGTTCCAGACTTGGCGTTTCTCCACGACGTGGACGCGCTGGCAGCAAGTGTGGATTTGGCCGTCTCTTTCTTTTACATCGCCTCGCTTGGCCTGGACGTCGTTGCGCAGACGCTCCTGGTCGCAGCCCAGGGCCACCCAGACAGAATTCCACTCGACCATCGCACGCGCCACGTCCCAGCAAACGAGCGCCAGGAGGTTATTCATCTCGGGCCAGGCCTCGTCACGGTGCATCCAGATGTGCGGGCGGCGGTGCGGCGCGTGGCCCGCAGAGCGGGGTCGAACCTCGCAGTGTCGGAAGCGGCGCCCCCAGCCTTTGGCGGGACGCTTTTCTCGACTCTGCGCGACGTCGTCGCATGGGCGTCTGCAGCGAGGCAGGTGAGGGATTATATAGGGCCCAAAGCAGTGACTGTGGACGGAATTCCAATGCGCGCCTGAGGATCTTACCCGAACAAAAAAGGAGACCCCGCCCGCAAGCAGGCAAGATCACCCAGACGTAGGCCGCACCTCGCCAAACAGTGAACCAGACCACCCAGAAGTAGATCAGACACCGCCCATATTATAATCAGACCGCCCAGAAAGTAGACTTCCCTCCCCCCCCAGAAAAAAGTAAGCCGGAACGCCCGCAAGTAGACCAGACCCCGTCAAAGAGGTAACCAGACCACCCAAAAGTGAGGCAGGCCACCCAGGTAGCAGGCCAGACCCAGCTACGAAGTAAAGCAGACCCCGCCAAAAAAGTCATCCAGACCGCCCAAAAGTAGACCACCTCCGACCCAGAGTAGACCAGACCCCGCCCACAAGTAGACCAGACCACCCAAAAGTAGACCAGACCCCGTCCACAAGTAGAGCAGGCACCACCCAAAATTATACCAGGCCGCGCAAGCACACCCGAGCCCGGACAACAGTAGACCAGACCCCGTCAAAAAGTACACCAGACCCCGCAAAAGTAGACCAGGCCCAGCCCGCAAGTAGACCAGACCCGCCCAACAACTAGACCAGACCGCCCCAAAGTAGACCAGACCCCGCCCAAAAGTAGACCAGACCACCCAGAAAGTAGTCAAGACCCCGTCCAAAATATACCAGACAACCCCAAAGTAGACCAGACCCCGCCAACAAGTAATCCAGACCACCTAAAGGTAGACCAGACCGCGACCCAGAGCACGCCAGACCAGCCGCAAGTAGACCAGACCCCAGACAAAAATAGACCAGACCGCGTCAAAAAGTAGACCAGACCCCGCCCAACAGTAGACCAGACCCCCCAAAAAAGAAATAACACATATATATATATATATATATCCAGACTGCCCCAAAGTAGACCAGAGCCCGCCAACAGGTCATCCATACCACCCAAAAGTAGACCAGACCCCAACCCAGAGTAGACCAGACCAACGGCAACTAGACAAGACCTAAGACAAAAGTAGACCAGACCCCGACCAGAAGTAGATCAGACCCCGCCCAAAAGTAGATCAGACCACCCACACGGAGACCAGACCCCGTCCAAAAGTAGACCAGACCCGCCCAACAGTAGATCAGACCACCCGCAAGGAGACCAGACCCCGCCCAAAAGTAGACCAGACCCGCCCAAAAGTAGATCAGACCACCCGCGAGGAGACCAGACCCCGCCCAAAAGTAGATCAGACCCCGCCCAAAAGTAGATCAGACCACCCATAAGGAGACCAGACCCCGCCCATAAGTAAACAAGACCCGCCCAACAGTAGACCTGACCAACCACGAGTAAACCAGACCCCGCCCAAAAGTAGACCAGACCCCGCCCAAAAGTAGATCAGACCACCCACAAGCAGTCCAGGCCCCGCCAAAAGTAGACCAGACCCCGCCCAAAAGAAGATCAGACCACCCACAAGGAGACCAGACCCTGCCCACAAGTAGATCAGACCCCGCCCGCAAGTAGATCAGACAACCCATAAGCAGACCAGGCCCCGTCCAACAGTAGACCAGACCCGCCCAAAAGTAACCAGATCACCCACAAGGACACCAGACCCCGCCCCAAAGTACATCAGACCCCGTCCAAAAGTAGATCAGACCACCCACAAGGAGACGAGACCCCGTCCAAACGTAGAGCAGACCACGCCCGAAAGAATGAATAAGACATCCACCCAGCGCAGCTGATCGGTTCAAGGACCAAGTGCTGGCAACGAGGCGCGCGCCCGACTCTTCTTGCGTCTCTTCGTGTGCTCGCGCCGCCCATGGCGCCTCATCAGGAAGCTCTTCCCGCGCCGAAGAGGCCGCGCACGGCGCAGCAGCCTGCAGCGCCGCCTGCACCGGCGCCTGCGGCGCCGTCTGCAGCGGCGCCCTCACCGCCTGCGCCATTGGCCGTCGAGGAGCTGCTCGAGATGGATTCGGTGCAGAGCGGGGCATCTGATCAATTGGGCCAAGGGGGCCAAGGAGTACGTCGACAATGCTCTCCTGAAGTTCCTGTCTGAGAAGCAAGCACTGGTGGCCTTCAAAGTGCCCGCCTCCGTCATGCTCATCCCTCCTCTGAAAATTTCTTCCGCAGCCTCTGGCGCGCACCTGACATCGTTTCGGGAGGTCATGCAGTACGACAACTTGCAGTTGAGCTTCTCTACGACGGGGCAGTACGAGGCTGCAGGGACGGTGTGGATGCTTGACCCGCTCGCCGCCGACACGTCCGACATCGTCTCTATCAGCCAGCTCGATGCCGCCATGGCGAACTGGACTGAGGAGAGGCTCTTGCTGTCTTCCGACCACCCGCCGTCGCGGCGCTACTCGTTCGACGTGCCGCTCCCAGCGCGAGTTGTCAACACCAAGGTTGCCCAGCGCATGACCGAGGGCGAATCCACTGTTCTCATGGCAACGGGAGTGCCCATGCTGGCGGGGCACCCGCTTGTGATGGCGTGGTATGGCGCCATGGCAGAGGCATTGTCCGCCGGCAACAGTGATCGCACATTCAAGCTGTTTGAGGCAGCTTTGTCTGTGCCGATCAGGCTGCGTCTCAGCCCCGACCCTGACGCCTGCCTGCTAGCGTCGCTGCTGTTCTCGGAGACCGTATTCTCTACTTCCGCAGCCTCTGGCGCGGATGCCTTTTGGAAGCTGGCTGAAAAGGTGAGTCGCCTGACAAAGTACCAGAAGGCTGTGGCCGAGAACATATCTCTTCCGAAATTGACCAAAGTCCTCACGACCTACGGGATCACGTTCAAGGGCAACGCGCTCACCGCGGCACACGCCAAGGCTTTGAAAAGCTTGACGCCTTTCGTCGGGAATCACGCTTGCGCCGTGGCTTACTCTTTGGCGGAGGCTTTCTGCCCCGAGCTCCGCGAACCCACGCTGTTGATGCGGCTGGCGCAGCTCTGCAAAGCAAGGACGGCGCCCTCCCAGGCAGACAAGGACGCGGCTGCCTGCGACTCGATGGCGTTCGTCCTGGACTGCTTGCGCGTTGCCCGGCTGACAGGCGACGCCCCCAGGGGGGGGGGCTTTCTGTGGGACGGGTCACGGGGCAAGAGAAAAAGACCCCCGCGCTGACGCACGTGCTGTTCAAGAAACATGATGTCATCGAGTACATTATGCACGAGGCGGCGATGATCGACAAAGACATGGCGCCTACAGTATCCATGTTTCGCTCGCCGCTTGCCATCGTGAAGCACTTCTCAGCCTCTGGCGAGAAAGGCTTAGCTGCTGCATTTCGGCGAGGGGAGAGCTCCGATAACACAGGGTTGGAAAACATGTTCGCTGTCCCTGTGGCCGAATACCGCGACCAGCAAGGCCGAGAAGCGAGGGCGCAGGCGTTGATCGACTTCGCGTGGGCCGTTTGGGCTGGCCACTTCGACGAGGAGCTCCAGGAGCTGGCCGCCCAAGACCTGCAGGGAGGTGCAGCCGCCTTCCTGTGGCACCGGTATTTCACCGACAGCGCCAAGGAGATGGGCGTCAAGTACCGCGCGCTGACCGCTGCTTGCGCGGCGGGTCCTATTTCGACTGGCACTGCCGAGGGCGGGGCCTCTGGCGTGGCCACGGGGGCGCCCGAGCTCGCGGAGGCCGACCAGGAGGACCTCAAGAAAACCAAGGACTTGCTCCTCTCTCTTCGCAGGAAGTCCGTTTCGTTCGCGGCGCTGCCGTCAGTTGGCGGAGCCACTGGCGCGGAACACAGCGCCGCCCAGTTGCAGAAACTCTGGGAAGAGATGCGTCTCGGACATAGGTACGCCAGGAAAAAAGCAAGACGTTCGAGCGTTCGTTGCGTCGGCCGACCTGTTCGCCCCGAACGTGAGCAAGAGCGGGGCGGCGGCGAGCTTGGGCGACCGCGTCGCTGTGGATGCGGAGCGTTTCGGGCGCGTGCTTGATTTCGTTTCGCAGAAGCGTTCGGTTCACGATATCGTCATTTTCCTCGACGGGCGGAGCCGGTTGCGCCGCAAACTGCTCGAGGAGAAAGAGGAGGGTCTCGCAGCCTCTGGCGCGCACGCTGTGACTGAGTGTTGGTGTGTGTATGTGCAGCCGAGCAAGGCACAGGGCCCCAGAGTCCCGGGAAGAGTGACCTGTTTTGCGCGCAACAACAAGGAAGTCGTCATCTGCTCCATCCCGAAAAGAGGCGCCATGAAGGTAGTGCAGCGCGCGGAGTTCAACTTGTGCGGCGAGACCACGAGTTCGCACACGACGTACACGGGCGTGCCTATGCGGCAGTACGGCGAGCTGCCGCGGATGACTTACGACACGAAGGCCTCGATCCTGGGAAACGCAGCCGCTGGCCCGGTGAGAGGGGGGCGCGCGCAGAAAGACATCGAGGCGAACGGGCACCCCTTCTCGCACTTGGAGGTCAAGCCATTGAGCTTTTGGCAGCGGATTTGCGAGCACCATCACATCACGCACGTCGTTGACTTCACGGCGGGGTCTGGCGCGTTGGCAATCGCAGCCTCTGGCGCGATGGAGTACGAGGGCGTGGCGGTCAACGAGGTTCACCGGGAGTGGCTCGACGCGACCTTGGACCGATGCGCACTGTGCATGGCGGGCCATGACAAGAATTTCGCCCAGAAGCTCGGCGGCGACGACGGTTTCGCTGAGAAAGTGGAGAAGTATTTCGCGGGAGCGATGATGGAGGTGCGGCGCTTGCTCGAGCCGATCGCGGACGAGGTGGACGGGGATGGGGGGGGCTCGGACTCAGCGGAGGAGTAGATCGCAGGCGCGCGATCGCGGGTGGGAAAACGACGCAGCCTCTGGCGCGCCGCTGCCGCGGCCTGGCTCTGAAACGGTGTCGAAATTTTGTGCGCGTCGCGACTCCAGTGCGTGAGCAGTTCCGGGGTGACGCCTCTGGCGCGCGAGGAAGCGTGCAAGACCTTCCAGCGCGGCGAAGTTTTGATGGGTAGACCAGTCTCTTGCCCGGGGGTGCAGCTTCATACGCGCCCTTGGACGCGCGCGGCGCTGTTACGCAACAGAGGAAATGTTCCGACCCCGCACAGACGCAAGCCAATCCATTCAGCGCAGAAGGCCAGGCCGCCCGTCAAACCAGGCCAAACCACCCATAAGTACACCAGACCCTGTCCACAAGTAGAGCAAAACCCGCCCAAAAGTAGACCATACCACCCATAAGTAGACCAGACCCCGCCCAAAAGTAGATCAGACCACGCCCAAAAGTAGATCAGACCACACACAAGGAGACCAAACCCCGCCCAAAAGGAGATCACACCCCGCCCAAAAGTAGATCAGACCACCCGCAAAGAGACCGGACCCCGTCCAAAAGTAGACCAGACTCGCCAGACAGTAGACCAGACCACCCTTGAGTAGACCAGACCCCGCCTTAAAGTAGGTCAGACCCCGCCCAAAAGTAGATCAGACCACCGACAAGGAGACCAGGCCCCGTCCAAAAGTAGACCAGACCCGCCCAACAGTAGACCAGACCACCCTTGAGTAGACCAGACCCCGCCTTAAAGTAGGTCAGACCACGCCCAGAAGTGCATCAGACCACCCACAAGGACGCCAGACCTCGCCCAAAAGTAGATCAGACCCCGCCCAATAGTAGATCAGACCACCCACAAGGAGACCAGACCCCGTTCGCAAGTAGAGCAGACCCCGCCCAAAAGTAGATCAGACCACCCACTAGTAGACCAAACCCTGTGCCCCAGTAGAGCAGGCCCGCCCAAAAGTACACCAGACCACACGCAAGTAGAGCAGACTCCGCCCAAAGTGCGTCACACCCCGTCCAGAAAGAAAAAGGGCCCGCTTCTGGAAACCAGGGAAGACAGCCCGGGCAGTTTCTGGAAACGAAAAAAGAAAACCAGGCCGTTTATGAAACCGAGAGAAGAAAACCGGGCCGTTTCTGGAAACGAGGAAAGGAAAAGGGCCGTTTCTGAAACCGAGGGAAGAAAACCGGGCCGTTTCTGGAAACGAGAAAACAAAACCGGCCCGTTTCTGGAAACGAGGAAAGAAAAAGGGCCGTTTCTGAAACCGAGGGAAGAAAACCGGGCCGTTTCTGGAAACGAGGAAAGAAAACCGGGCCGTTTCTGGAAACGAGGAAAGAAAAAGGGCCGTTTCTGAAACCGATGGAAGAAAACCGGGCCGTTTCTCGAAACGAAGCAAGAAAACCGGCCCGTTTCTGAAACCGAGGGAAGAAAACCAGACTGCTTCTGGAAACGAAGGAGGAAAGTAGCCCACTAGGCATGCTTTCATTTTCTCATCTCGGTTCTGAAACCGAGGGAAGAAAACATGTTCGGATTTGGCATGTTGGCGAGCATGTTGTGGGCCCTATATGACATGTAGTATAGAGCCCACAACATTCTCGCCAACATGCTAGACCCGAACATATTTTCTTCGCTCGGTTTTGCAACCGAGCGAAGAAAACATGTTCGGATTTCCGACATGTTTTCTTTCTTTGTGTGTGGGGGGGGGGGGACCACAAGTTTTCTTCTGTCGTTTCCAGAAACGGTAGGGTTTTCTTCCCTCGGTTTCAGAAACGGCCCTTTTTCTTTCCTCGTTTCCAGAAACGGCCCGGTTTTCTTTCCTCGTTTCCAGAAACGGCCCGGTTTTCTTCTCTCGGTTTCAGAAACGGCCCTTTTTCTTTCCTCGTTTCCAGAAACGGGCCGGTTTTGTTTTCTCGTTTCCAGAAACGGCCCGGTTTTCTTCCCTCGGTTTCAGAAACGGCCCTTTTTCTTTCCTCGTTTCCAGAAACGGGCCGGTTTTGTTTTCTCGTTTCCAGAAACGGCCCGGTTTTCTTCCCTCGGTTTCAGAAACGGCCTTTTTTCTTTCCTCGTTTCCAGAAACGGCCCGGTTTTCTTTTCGCGTTTCCAGAAACGGCCCGGTTTTCCTTCCTCGTTTCCAGAAACGGCCCGGTTATATTTTATGGTCGGGGTCTGATTTACTTTTGGGAGGGGTCTGGTCAACTTATGTGTGGTCTGGTCTACTTTTGTGCGGGCCTGCTCTACTTGTGGACAAGGTCTGGTCTACTAGTGCGTGGTCTGATCCGCTTCTTGGGCGGGGTCTGATCTACTTTTGGGTGGGGCATGATCTCCTTGCGGGTGGTCCGATCTACTTTTGGGCGGGGTCTGATCTAGTTTTGGGCGGGGTCTGGTCTACATGTGGGTGGTATGATATGCGTCTGGGCGGGTCTGCCCTATTTGTGGACCAGGTCTGGACTACGTTTGGGTGGTCTGATCTACTTTTGGGCAGGTCTGGTCTACTTTTAGGCGGGGTCTGGTCTCCTTGCGGGTGGTCTGATCTACTTTTGGGCGGTGTCTGATCTACTTGCGGGCGGGATCTTGTCTCCATGTGGGTGGTCTGATCTACTTTTGGGCGAGGTCTGATCTACTTTTTTGGGGGGTCTGGTCTACGTATGGGTGGTCGGGTCTGCTGTTGGGCGGGTCTGCTCTACTTTAGGGCGGGATCTGGTCTCCTTGTGGGTGGTCTGATGTACTTTTGGGCGGGGTCTGATCTACTTTTGGGTGGGGTCTGATCTCCTTGCGGGTGGTTTGATCTGCAATTGGGCGGGTCTGCTCTACTTGTGGACGGGGTCTGGTCTCCTTGTGGGTGGTCTGATGTACTTTTGGGCGGGGTCTGGTCTCCGAGTGGGTGGTCTGATCTACTTTCGGGCGGGGTCTGATCTACTTTTGGGCGGGGTGTGGTCTATTTGCGGGTGGTCTGCTCTGCTTTTGGGCGGGTGTGCTGTACTTGTGGGCAGGGTCTGGTCTACGTATGGGTGGTCGGATTTATTTTTGGACGGGGTCTGGCCTACTTTGACGCGGGGTCTGGTCTCCTTGTGGGTTGTCTGATGTACTTTTGGGCGTGGTCTGATCTACTTTTTTGGGCGGGGTGTGATCTACTTTAGACCATGAATTTCCATGGCGTGTGTTTGTTACATCTTCTTAACTTGTTTGCTTTGCTACGACATGCTATCCCAAACCGTGCTCCGTGATCGTTTGAACGCTGTCCATATGTACGCATTCCCGTGGTATGCCATGCGTTGTTAAGCAATGCTGTGCCACGCCGTGCGCTGCTCTCCGGTGTGGTGCGATGCTATGCTATAGTATGCGACGTCATCCGACGGGATGCCATGCTGTAGCTCTGGTGTTCCCACCCAACAACCTCTCTGTGAGACACATGGTGGTCGTGTGTGAATGTTGTACACAGTACGGCTCTGGCGTACTTCTGGGCAGTGTCTGGACTTGGTGCGAGTGTGCTCTGTGCATTGCATTGCAACGCCTTGCGAACACATGGAACCGTGTGCGATGCGATGATATGCCGTGCTAGGCCACGCGATGCAGTGCTATGCGATCCCATGCTATGGCTCCTGTCGGGCCCTCCCCCCCGGGGTGGCTGGTCGCGTGGGAATGTCGGCGCGGAATCTCAGAGACTTCATAGAGCTGCGCGTGCCAGCCATGCAAGTTTGCGCGCGCCTGGCACGCGGAGGGACGGGGGCAGGGGTGGGGCGGAAAGTGGGAGGAGGAGGAGGTTTTGGACGAGGACGAGGACGAGGACGAAGAGGAGGGAGTGGAAGTGGGAGGAGGAGGAAGGAGTAGTAGAGCAGGAGGGAGTAGAAGACGAGAGGAAGTGGGACGAGGAGGAAGGAGTACAAGAGGTGGGAGAGAACAACCATGGAATATGGGGAGGCGGACCAATCGTCGCCACGGCTGGAGCATGCTGGAGCCACGGAGGCATCGTCGCCACGGCTGCCTTCGCCTCGAAACTCTGGCCAGAGCGTCGCCACGTCG